ACAGTTCCCTGTTCTCAAACCCGCATCCTTCCTCTCTCTCTCTCTCTTTTTCTTCCTTCTGTCCATCACTCCTGGCTGACCATATTCTCTCTCCCCCCCTCTCTGCCACTGATCTCTCCCCCTGCGGTCTCCCATCATTCAGCGTTCCCTGCCTGTGTGTGTGTGTGTGTGCGCGCACTGCTGCTTCACCACCAGCCGTTGCGCGCTGCCTCGCCCCCTCCTCTCTGGAAGATGGAGGGGAAGGGAGGGATGAGCAATAAAGAGCAGGGACCGTGCACAGGCAGAGCGAGAGAAGAGAGGAGGGAAGAGGAGAAGCAGGGTCCCTCTGTATGTGGAGAGCTGACTGGAACGAGGAGGAGCATGTGCAGGGAGGGACGCTGGAGGTTCCATGTCACTGAGCGCATGTATGTTGAGCCTGTGTGACGGCGTCTCTGCCGGAGAGCTTCAGAGGCAGGAGCAGTTTGAGCAGTAACTCGCCTCCTCTTCCTCCTCCTCCTCCTCATCCTCCTCCTCCTCCTCTGTGCCGTCATGCTCGGCGCCTGATGCGCGCAGAGGACGCAGGCGACCCGGGAGACAGCGAGAGGGGCGTGATGGCCGGACGCGCCCTGACTCGGTCATACATCTGTAGATATCCTCCCGGGCTTCCGTTGGCTTCCCCTCCTCGTCCTCCTTCGTCCCTCGTCCATGTCCTCCCTGCCCGCCTCCCTGGATGGACGCTGCTGTCAACACACATGTGCGCCGCGCAGTGAGAGCCCATGATCCTGGACTGCGCACAGCTCCGGCTGCTCTGTGCCATGCTGCCTTAGGGTGACACTGAAGAAATTCAAAGAAAAGAAGAAGTCTCTTCACCTTTTCACTTCCCAGCTGCTGCTCGTGACTGTATTGATGACGTACGCTGCGGGACAGTTGTTATTCTGGATTGAATGAAGATTTGTGCTCTGGAGTGAAGAGGATGAGCAACACACAGGATGTGGCTGCTGCACATACAAATAAGGTCAAGTAAATCATTTCCATACAGGAGGAGGCATCAGACGTCTCAGTAGCTGTGTGTAGGTTGTAATTTGGGTGTTTTCCAGGAACAAAAGAGCGTCTTGGATTGCACTGAAGGTTGTCGACAAGAGTGGATTTTGTTTTCCGAGATTAAAATTTAAATGACGGCGAACAAAGAAATCTGTGCCTGACATTAACGTTTGAAACAAAGACACCGGGATTTGGGGGATGGATGAAACCAGCTGCTGCTCTGCTGCTGCTGAATCTTCTGAGGAGAAACTTAATCTCCCTCCATGTAAGTTTTCTGCCTCCGTCGTGCCGTCAGATTCTCTCACATCCCAACACGCCGGCGAGCTGTCAGTCGTTCATGCCATTCTGTCTGGTTTCATTCATCTACTGTGAGTCCACTGAAGCCTGACCACATGAGCGGCGCCCTGCAGCAACGCACCACCTACCTCATCTCCCTCACCCTGGTCAAGGTAGAGGCCGTGGAGGAGAATGGAGGAGAGGCCAAGAACAGCACCCAGGGGAAGGAGGTGGAGGCCGGGGTGAGAGGGGAGGCTGAAGGTGGAGCCCCGGCACAGGCTGAGAACGGAGCTGGAGTGATTTCAGGACAAGCACAAAGAGCTGAGGATGCTGCTGGTGTGAAGGGTGTTGAGGACGGAGAGAGAAAACCCCTCAGCCCTTTGAAAGATGAGACACTGTCCGCTGTGGACGTCCCGGGTAAAGGAGGTGAGAAGCCTCCGTACAACCTCTCCATCCCCTTACCTGCTGAGAGCGCAGCACCTCACAACACCAAGTCTGCAGAGGTAGACTTCAGAGTTGAGACGACACTTCCCACACCAGAGGCAAAGCAATGCCGGTCTCCATCCGTCACCACGACACCACCAACGGAGGTGTATGTGGAGCCCAGCCGCACCCCGACCAGGACCAGCCTCCCTATCCGTCCAGCGGGACAGCGTCCTGTCAGTCTGCTGAAGTCTCACAGCAGCGTGGCCACCCGAGGCCGTGAGTCCAGGGACGGCAGAGAGCGCAGCCCCACTTCGGCCCAGAGCCTCGACCGCAAGGACTGCCGCATGCTGATGCGTTCTCCGGGCCCGTGCAGGGCGTCCTGGGCCGAGGCGAGCAGGCCGGAAGAATGGAGGGACCTGCGGGACGAAGCTCATGCTGGAATACCTTTAGAGGTGGGAGGTGGCATGGCTGCGGTGATGAGAGACATGCCCAGGAAGGACAGACTGAAGGCCGGCTCCACCTCTCTACCTGCACCGGCCAACCAGGCCTCCAAACCAACGCGCAAAGGTAAAAGCCGCACGTTGGACAACAGCGACCTGAACAGCCTCTCTGAAGACCTGGGTCTGGCCCAGCAGACGCAGCAGGGCCACCGAGGCTCCGCCAAAGACAGGAAGATGCTCAAGTTCATCAGCGGCATTTTCACCAAGAGCAGCTCCGGGACGGTGGGGTCCTCCTCCACAGCGCCCCCTGTCTATATACAGAGAGACTCCAGTGAGGAGGAAGGTAAGAGGTCACAAACGCACACAGACACACAACACCCCTGTCACCTCTTCATCTCTAAACCCGGCCTCCATGTTGACGTGACAACAGACCGTTATCGGAGTCTGTCTTCAGGTCTCTGCCAAAACAATTACCCTCGAGCTGCCACCTCGTCTGTGCACAGGCGTCCAACGGTGGCGTTGGGTGGGGTTGATCTTTTTCTGAGCCCCACACGGAAAAAAATATAAATTCTGTTACACGTCAAGAAGCATTTTGCTAAAGCCATGTGCGACTGCAAATTGGTGACGGATGAGGTTGTTTGATGTGCGGACTGACAATAGAATCGTCTTGGACAGTCTTAATCTAATTCCCCTCAGAGCGCTGGGCCGATTTCACATCGCTGGAGGGGTAATCTCTGCACTCACACACACACACTCACACACAGACACACTTAAACAGCGTTCCCAGCATGGCTTTAAATCTCATAATGAAGCCAAGGGGGAGAGGAGCTGGTGGCACCATCACGGATGGATTCATTTCCACAAGGCTGAGTCGGGAAGTGGGGAGACGACGTGAAACCATATTTGTTCACCCACGTCAAAAAGGGAAGAACATTTCTAATCCTCGTCTTTGATATTCCGCCCACTACATGTTCTGCCACCGTGCACCCCCCCTTCCCCAACCACCCACCCCCACCAACGTCCTCCACCAACGTCTCTGTCCCTGCCAAGCGTTTTGTTTAAATTCACGTGAGAAGAAGACATCACTGTGGGACATGTGCTGCGGCTCAGACACAGAGCGAGTGTCAGCCCGTGGGAGTGAGCGTGTGTTTTATATATTCATTCACTCGTTGTGTATTCACACTGCTACACATGCACGCTGTGGATTCACTCCAGCAGTGAGACTATGGGCCCGCCGACTGCACACACACACACACACACACACACGTGCACACCCACGCGCACACTCAGGGCAGGAGGAAGTGTTGCCATGGCAACCGGTAGAACTGCTGCTTCTGCTGCTGCTGCTGAGGCAGAGCCTGATGAAACAGAGGGGCGGAGGTGGAGGGGTGTGTGTGTGTGTGTGTGTGAGTACACAGGCGTTGACACATGAAAATAAAATAAAAGAAATAGCATTAAGTTAGATTCTGTCAGATTTGGAAGCTTCAGGCCACAAACAGTGGATCACACATGACTGGTCTGGAGCAGGGAGTGTGGATAATTGGCTTTCTGTGGAGATGTGTGTGTTCTGTGTGTGTGTGTGTGTGTGTGTGTGTGTGTGTGGAAGCAGCAGAAGGGTCACACTGTCTGTCCATAAAGAGGCTTTGACTCAGGAAGACAGACAAGATGGACCCAGTCCATGTGTGTGTGTGTGTGTGTGTGTAAGGAGAAGCTCTTTTTCCCTGCCTGCCGCCGCAGATCGTATATAAGCCTCGTTTTATTTTTTCCACTCCCTCTCTCGTGAAGCAGCATATGTCAGCGGCTGCATCTGTGCAGCGTTGGCGCGGACGCTCCATAGATTTAGACCCAGCCTCCAGTTCATTCATCATCTGTGTTTGAAGGACGAGGGAGGGAGGATACCGTGTGTCCATCAGAGGAGCGAAACCACAACCTCCTGCTCTCCTCGTTTCTCCTCATTGTCTCATATCTGGTTTGGTTTTAGTCCTGCAGAGATCCTCCTCCGAACTGTTTCAGCGGCTATTTGTCCGTTTCCACAATAATAATAAGTCGACTCAATATAAAATCTGTTCAGGATTTATTAACTGCAGGAGAGATGATTGTTCTATACAGGGACTCTCACAGGAGAGAAGATCATGTTCCCGTTTGTCCAGGACTTTGATTTATGACCAAATATACATTTAATAGTTTCTGTTATATTGTGTTTCTGTTATATCGTCCTCCCCTGATGTGAGTGCATCAGTTTTATCCAGGTGTACCTAATAAAGTGGCAGCGGAGTGTCTCTGACCTCTTGTAGTCCGTCCTCAGGTCTCACTCCTCTGTTCTCGTCCCTCTGAAGCTGCAGCTGGAGTGTGAGCGTCACATCACACCCCTCCACAGTGTGTGTGTGTGTGTGTGTGTGTTCCTGCAGAGATTTCTTTTTCATCTATCTTATCTCTATATTTCATCTTCAGATTTTTTAATGCTCTAACTCAAATATCCCTGCTTGTACTCAGGTTCACTCTGCTTGTTCAGTATTTCTGAACCATCTTTTCAACCAAATCACACATAAAATCCATTCAGTTTTTTTCTGTTTCCTGGTGGTGGGCATTAATTAGTGCAGCAGAACAAACAGGATATTCTCTCATCTTGTTTTCTAAAATCTATTTTGATGTCTAACTCAAGTAGAAGAGCTCAGAGAGCTCAAACCTCCACCGAGACCCAACGGTCCCCTTAAAACACCACATTTAAATTCGCTGGCTTTTTATTTGCTTCAAAGAGGAGTGAAGCAAACTGAAGAGGAAAGGATGGGAGAGGGGGATGGAGGGAGGAGGTGAAAGGATGAGGGAGGGAAGATGCAGGGAGGAGGATGATGCTCTGGGATCAAATATCACAAACACACGATGGAATATGGATCCAGAAAAAGAGCTTGACGACCTTCTTCCACCTCAGTGGAGCCCCCCCCCCCCCCCCCCAGTCTCAGAGTTTGAACCCCCGGGCCTCGGCACACAGCTGCTGGTCAGTGGGGAGCTAAGTGGATAACGAGCGGTGTGGCTGCACGCCGTTAGATCCCCGGTGTGACTGAAAGGTTATATTCATTAAGACGCCCGGCGAGGCCACACGTGTGCACCGCGCTGCAGCGGTGTGATTCATCGCTCTCTCCCACACAGGTCGTCGTTGTGATGGCTGCTGGTCTCACCGAACACCGTCACAGTGACGGGTCTCTGCCTCGCTCACTGTTTGTCTCTGTCTGTCTCCCTCCAGTGAATATCGCCAACAGCCAAGAGTGGACGCTGAGCAGATCCATCCCCGAGCTGAGGCTGGTGAGAAGAGTCCCGCTCACTCAACACTGAACTTCTCACCTGAGAGATTTTAACCAGAGGGGAAACCTCAGACTTTAATTTGACATTACGCTCAAAAACTTTGGATTCATACGTTTATGAATTCATACACATACACAAGTCTTCTCCATCTTAGCTCTGCTGCATTTACTCCGATGTGTGAACGAATGAATGGATGGATGTAGAGAAGTAACAATAAAACATCTATACTTCAGTAAAATAACTCAAAATTAGCACTTGAGTAAAGTTACTTTCCACCACTGCATGTATTACAACTGGACTTGTATGAATTCAAAGTATTTGAGTATGTGAAGGAATTTGAAAAGTAACAGATGTTGTTTAAAGAGTCTCTTCAGCAGTTCTCTAATTTAACATTACACCCAGAAACATGAAATGTACAGAAATGTACATTAAGCAGTAATTTTGACAGATTAAACTCATATAAAGTAAATAAACTTTAATGCAATAGTATTAAATAAGCTTTGAATGTATAGTTATTTTCTCTAGATTCTTTAACTTCAGAGGAATATGAACGATCATGTGTGAAATCTTGGAGCCTGTGTGATGCAGATGTCTGCAGGTGTTCGTGTCAGGGCCGCTCACACCCTGAGGTGTGGCAGTCTTCTCTTATCTGAGTGATAGTGACTGAACCGTCTGAGGATAAAGTTCAGTGAGAAAATCCACCTGAAACTGCAGATTAACAATGAACTCTGGATCGCAGTCAGAGGAAAGTGACTTCGAGTGATAATGATCCGTCACGCCTCTTGTATAATCAAGTTTCCATGAGAATAACTTCAAAATACAAAATGCTTGTTATTTCTGTTGTATAGTTAAAGATCTGAGGTCTTCTTCCTCCAACATGTCAAATCTGTCTGATGCACAGTAACAGGAACACAAACACATTTGATGGAGGAACTAAAAAGTCTTCTGAGTTATGTTAAAAAGATGTTTCCTTCCTGCTTCTCTCAGGGCATTCTGGGAAGTCTGAAAAGCGGAAAGTCAGCGCTGGTGAACAAATACATCACGGGCAGTTATGCTGCGCTGGAGAAGCCTGATGGTAAAAAAACAAACAAACGCTGAGTTCTGCCCACAGACAGTTTCTGATGATAGATTCAATATGTCTCATGATTAGAGACGTGTGGCTTCATCCTGTCACCGGCTGCTGAATGTCTGTGTTTGTCAGGGGGCAGGTTCAAGAAGGAGGTGCTGGTGGACGGACAGAGTCATCTGTTGCTGATCCGGGAGGAGGCCGGGCCGCCTGATGCACAGGTGCTTTTTTCTCTCTGTGAGTTTTTAATCCTCGTCCATCAGACCTGCAGCTAACGTCTCCCCCCCCCCACCCCCACCCTCACCCTCCTTCAGTTCAGCAGCTGGGTCGACGCCGTGATCCTGGTCTTCAGTCTGGAGAACGAGGCCAGTTTCCAGGATCTGTACCAGCTCTACAGCCAGCTCAGCACCTTCCGCACAGACATCCCGCTCATAGTGGTCGGAACCCAAGGTCGGCACATGAGACGCAAACTCTGTTTTTACTGAACGCCAGAGAGAGAGGGAGAAATCAAGAGAGCAACAAAAGTTTGACTTTAACTTCCTGAGTGAACTTTGAGTTTATCTGACTCATGATTCTTTACCTCCGTCAACATATTTCAGGTTTGAGATGTTACTGAGATTAAGGTCCCAAAAATCTAGACGTTGATTTCACTCCTTCAATTGATTCAGGATCTCTGTTGCTCATTAAGACTCACACACACACACACACACACACACACAGACGGACATTTCTGGAATCCGTCCATGAGTTAATTGAAGGATGTAAAGGACACTTATCAAACTGAACTCATCGTTTAAGCTCTGAAAATGTTGCACTTGAAAGGAACTCAAGGGTTTAATTAAAAAAGAGAAAAGTAGATTTAATTTAAATTATCATGGGATCTTTAACAGAATGAAGTGAACCCAGAGGAAAAACCGTTTTTGCTTCATGCTTCAGACAGAACTTTCTCTCACTGTTTTTTTTTTTTTTGCAGTACTACTCAGTCCTAACTCAGCGTTATCTAATCATGGATGTATTTTTACTCAGATAAGATCAGCAGCACCAACCCCCGTGTGATCGAGGATCAGCGAGCCAGACAGTTGTGCGTGGACGTGCGCCACTCGCTGTTTTACGAGACCTGCGCCACCTACGGGTTCAACGTGGACCGAGTGTTTTCAGAGGGTGAGTTCACTCGAGAGTTTTATTCTCTCGACGCAAAGACCGAAGGTCACTGAACGGTTCAATGTGTTTTCAGCCGCTCAGAAGATTGTGGCTCAGAAGAAGCAGGCGGCGCTCCAGGCCTGCAAGTCGCTTCCAAACTCCCCCAGTCACTCGGGAGGATCCACGCCTGGATCAGCGTCGCTGCCGGGACAGGTACCACCCCCCCCCCCCCGTAAAAAAAAACTGCACGTGGCCCATTCCACATGAAACAGCACAAAGATTGAAACTCTGGATTCATTTTAAACATAAAAACATAATTATCATGTTCCTATAATGAAGGTGATAGACAGACGTGACGTTCAAATCCTTGCACCAAAGTTTCAGGGTCGGTCCAGTCATCGTGTTTTTCGTAATCCTGTGAACTAACAGAGGAAATAGAAACACGACCTCTTGTTATATTATAAAGTTAAAGTCATCTATCAAACTGAAGTGCAATTTTAAACGTCACCTCCGAGGTCGTTCATCATCCATCTCAGCTCCGTGATTATCACATCCCCTTGTTCCCACACCGAGAGATTCATTCTGTCCATGGTCATGTGCTGTTTGACTCATTTCATCTCCTCACCCGTCCTCACCCGCTCTGTCTGTCTCTTCCCTCACACCTCCATCCCTGCCCCTGCGTCTTGACCTCTGACCTCTCAGACCTGTAACGGCCCCAGTAGTGGTGGCTACGCCTACTCCCTCCCCTCCACCCCCGTGGTGGGTCACAGAGAGCTGCGGGTGGCACAGGGAGAGGGGGGAGGCAGCATCAACTCACGTGCGCTGAGGAGCATCCCGAGACGGCCCTCCCTCTTCAAGGTCAGTGGTCGGCGACGTGTCGGCGTCTCGCTCCTCGTGTTTCCCGTCACCTCTCACCATCATCTCGCTGCGCTCGGCTCCGACTCGCTGCTCCTGTGAACACTCGTGTTTTCGTGTGTTTCAGAACCGGGACTCGGATAAGAAAGCTGGAGACCTGAGGGGCGTTCCCATCAAACAGGTTTTCTACTTACTTTCTAACTTACTTTCTTTTCTATACTTGTACTCATAGTGTGTACTGTGTACCATACCTGCCATAGTGCCGATACGTGTGTGTGTGTGTGTGTGTGCACAGTATATCTGTTTCAATATCTCCTTGGACATAAAGTTCTAATACAGTTTCCATCCTGTGCCACTGAACTTGTTTCTCGAAGTAATATTTCCATCAGTACTCAAAAGTTTGTATAATGTTCATATTCTCTATTTAATTTTGTATTTTGTGCTTTCGCTTGTCTCAGCAGCAAATCTTATCGTATCTTATCTCATCCCATCGTATTGCACCGCTTTGTAACGCATCGTTTTTTATCGTAACAAATCGTTTTTTATCCTAACTTATCTTATTTTATCGTAACAAATCTTATTTGATTTGATCGTATCTTATTCGATCGTCTCCTATCTTATTCGATCGTCTCTTATTTGATTTGATTGTCTCTTATCTTATTCGATCGTCTCTTATCTTACTATATTTTATCGTATCTTATTTGATTCGATCGCATCTTACAAACATATAAAAGACAAACAGGATCTTCATCTTTGTGTCGAGCTGCTGCAGCACAGTGATGTTCTGATTCCTTCTTCAGCGAGAAGGTGGGAACAAAGAAGCTTCTCTATTTATTTCTTCTTACATAAGCAGCACAAAAAAAAAAATCTCTCATTTCATCCTCTTCAAGCTTCCTCAAGGGCGTTATATTAATATTGTGCTTTCAGCTGCGTCTCCGTCTGCGGCGCTGCTGCACTTTGAAGCGTCGCTCTCTGATGTCGACTCTAAATTTAGGCGGGTTCAACGTGTCGTCGGCTGCGAGCGCGCTGACCTTGGTGTTTGTTCTCGACAGAGCATCCTGTGGAAGAGGAGTGGAAGCTCTCTGAACAAGGAGTGGAAGAAGAAATACGTCACCCTGTCCAACAATGGCACTCTGTCGTACCACTCCAGCTCCAGTGTAAGAGAACACCGCAGCACCGATCGATTCGGCAGTAAAACACAGAGAAGCATCAGCACACAGAGTTTTCACTGTGCGGCTTTTTAACTCAACTTTACACCAGTGGGTTCGGTTCAGGTCACGTTCTTCTTAAACTGCATCGAAACTTATATTTATACTTTTTAAATTTAATGTAAAATAATCCAAGTGATGCTTTCACATCAGAATTACACAAATTGTTATTTTCTCTACCTTAGAATGAGCCATTTATATTTACATACTGGAGGGGGAGGGGGAGGCGAGGGGTGTTCAACTGCAACGTGACACTTAACCACTAGATGTCACCACATTCTTCACACTGAACCTTTAATTTTTTCAACAGGAACATTCAGTGACACATTTGTCCAGTCACAAATTGAACACACAAATGAATTATTCTCTGAGAAATCAAGAAAAACTTTGAAAAGTTTGGTGGAATTGTCGAATCTCAATGTTTCATTGTTTGTTTGTTTCAGGATTACACACAGAATATCCACGGGAAAGACATCGACCTGCTTCGTGTGACGGTTAAAGTTCCCGGGAAACGTCCTCCGAGAGCGGTGGCTCCCGCGGCGCCCTCACCTGCGGCCCCCGGCCCCCTACCTCGAGTTAACGGGCTGAGCAAAGAGCTGACGGCCGCTGACGGCACCAGCACAGGTACCGTGAAGTCACTGAGTCAGTTTGTCTGTCAACAAATCCCATGAAAAGACAAAAACTCACATGAGAGTTTATTTAAAACAAGCCCAGTTAAACAAAGTGTGAATATGATTCGCCCCACGTCCTCTCGTCTGTCAGTCCCTCAGCTGTGTCCGTCCACCCTGTCCGTGGTGGACGATCGCTCCGGCGGTTTGTCGCCTCAAGGTGGAGAGAGAGGTCTTCAGCGCTGCTCGTCCTCGTTGTCCACCAAAGCACAAAGTGTTGGTACGTAGGCAGGAAGTAAAACCTTCAGATACTTTAAACCCTGTAAACAACGTGGTTCATGGTATTTATACACGTTTTCAGGACTGTATCTTTATAAGTGTCTTTGAGCATTCTTGAAATATTTACACATAAAATGTTTTCTTCTTCTTCTTCCTCCTGCTGCTTCTTCTCCTCCTCCTCCTCATCATCATCATCATTATTATCATGTCAGACGCCCTCGAAGGGACGGCCGGTCCTTTTGCTGGAAAAGACGCGGGTCAGTCGTCTCCCATGAGCGACAGGAAGAAGAACAGGAGGAAGAAGAGCATGAATCAGAAAGGAGACGCAGCCGTGGGACAGGCTGAAGGTAACGTCCCACACAGGAAGTCCTCCTCTTCTTCTTCTTCTTCCTCATGAATGTTAGAAAAAGCATTGACAGGGAAACCGACACAGGAACGAGGAACAACAACAAATATGCAAAATGATAAAAAACCTCAGAGTATTTTTGAGGAAGAGGACGATTCGATGCTTCTGTCACCACATGCAATGAAAAACAGTTTTAATCCCGACTTTCCTTTTCCTGACTCCTCACGTCCTCTCTCCTTTGTAAGGACGTGGTTCAGCCGAGGTGTTTGTCTCTCTCTGATGTCTCCTTCGCCTCCTAACGTGTTTGTGCTTTTTCTTCCCCTCTGCTTGTCTCTCGCTCCGCAGCCAAACGTAAAATGTGGAAGTTAAAGAGCTTTGGTAGCTTGAGAAACATTAATAAGACAGGTAACGAGTGAGAGCAGGTCAACGAGTCTGTTTTCATACGTTCGTCCAAAGAAACCTCAGTTCTTCATTTTCATTCACTTTCATTGGAACAAGATATTTATGTTTTCACCTTCTGTCAAATTTATTTTGTTTGTGCATGTTCATTTTTTTGTATTTATTCCACCGACCCCGTTCAGACCTGGTAACACACACACACACACACACACACACACACACACACAGTGACACACACACTTAATTTGTTCTCCATGGACACAAATGAGTTCCATGTTCGTTTCCTTACGGAGCAGGACGTGTGATCTGATCTGGTCACATTCAGGACACGTGACGATACCAGGTGTGAACGGGTCCTCCGTCCACAGATC